AAAAAAAAAAAAGAAAACCCACACAACAAGAAAAACTGAAACACCTCTGTCACCAATTTCCCCAGGCTTCAGAAAGTGAAGGAGGGGAACGGAAAAAAAAGTGTGTGTGTGTGTGTGTGTGTGTATCTGGGTGGGTGCACACACACAACGCTAGAGTTCTTTATTCATAAGCAAGCCGAAGACGAGGCGTTAGGCTGCTGGGTCACGGGGAAGAGCGCCCTGGGAAAGGGTCTGTTGAAGAGGAGAGCTTTCTAACTCCAGACAAATGCTTTCAAAATACCATTGGCTAGGTGGCTGTTTCCTCGGTGGTGGAAAACATCATTTAAAGTCCTTTTCATGTTCTCATAGCAGGCAAAATACATGGCGTGGGCCGGCCCCGCGCCCATCACCATCACGTTGATGCCCCGCAACGGCCTCCAGAAGCCTTCAGTCCGAACAATTTTCTTGAGGGCTCCATATACACTTGTGTACTGGGCTTTGGGATCCGGATGCAGACTCTGCATTCGTGTCTGGGGAAGGGAGAGAAGAGAAAACAATAAAATGGGTGTTAATGAGGCCAGTAAAGACGAAAAGGGGAGCCCAGAAGGGAGAGAGAGGAAACAGTCAATTTTCCTAGCTTTAAGGATTTCTTAAGGAGCCCTGGTAGTGCAGTGGTTAAGCACTCGGCTGCTAACTCAAAGGTTGGTGGTTCGAACCCACTAGCTGCTCCTCGGGAGACAAGATGTGGCAGTCTGCTTTTGTAAAGACTACAGCCTTGGAAACCGTATGGGGCAGTTCTACTCTGTCCTATAGGGTCGCTATGAGTTGGAACCGACTCAACGGCAACTGCTTTGGTTTTTTTTTTAAGGATTTGTTGGTGAAGGAACATTTTCATTCTATCCCTTCTGTAGTACTCCCCAACCGCCCCATCCCCCACACATATACACACATTCACATAGATCTCATTAAGCCGGGGTGAGGGGCTGGAGAGGGGTGGGCAGGATTTGGAGTAGGAAGGCCCTCTCCTGCCATTTGCAAGCTGTGTGACCTCTGATGAATCCCTTAACCTCTCTGGGTCACAGAAGCTTCAACTTTTTAGCTGAAGACCAGGGAGTGGGGGCTACAGAGTTGTTGCAAGCATCAAATGAAACAATGCACGTGAAAAACCTTAGTAAACTCAGTCCTAGAGAAATATCAGTATTATTATTACTGTGCAGCTACCACTTTGGTTCCAAAATCTTCTCCATCCTCACTTACCTGAAACCTCCTGCTCAGCCTCTACCATGAAATCTCCCCAAAATCCTCTAGCCCTCATTCCCTGATCACTTCTAAATCCTTTTTCACAGTTTGTCTTTTCAAGTTAGCACTTAAAATATAAACGGTCTTGTCTTTAATCTCAGATATACAGTATTGTCTCCTCGAGGGCAGTCACACCAGGCACTTGACTGAGTAAGAAATATTTGCCAGGGAAAGACCCACCTGGTTCAGCCCTCAAAAGTAGCAGCAGCATCTGCCCTTCCCCATCCCCAGCACACACACAGCCTAGAGGAGAGGACCCCCAACTTTTGGCAGGTACATCCTTTTCTTTCCAGAAAAAAACCATCCAGAAAACCTAATGCAGGTTTTGTTCCAACAACTCCGTCATCAGTCAGTCCTAACGTAAGTTGAATACCTCATTTTTTTTTTTTTTTAGTTTTCATTATTATTGCCTTTTATTATCTGTATCTTTATAAATCAAGTATTTATTTGTCTTTAGGGGTTTGGAAACATTACATACAAATTTACAGATATGATGACATCAGCAAATTAAGTGCTTCAACACTGTATGTAGCACATATTACTAACTATAAGATGTACAAAAAAAAAGGCAGTTGTAAGTGTGGTTCACCATAAGTTGGGTATTACCTGTATACAAAATAGAAGAAGGGCTTCTCTGATTGACTAAGGGGCAAAGGGCCCTGAGCCTCCCTCTCACCCTCCAAGACAGGGACCCCTGAGGAACCTGAGGGCTCAGAGGCACAGTGTGGAAACCAATAACCTAAATTAGTGGTCACACGACTTCCAGATTTCACCTACTAGTAAAACCACAATAAAAATGGACACACCATTGCCAGTTTTTTATTTTTCCATGAAAGGACATAAAACGACAATTACAGTATATGCAATAATTACAACCACCCTCGATTACAATCACCATTTCCTAAAAGAAAGAGCATTTTCATGCTTGAAAAAAAAGGGCAAGAAAGACTACCTACCAGGCACCATATTCCTGGTGAATGCCCGGTGGGAATGGAGGGTATCAACAGGCCTGCACTTTTAAAAAACCTGATTTCTCTTCTAACCTTTTCAAAAAGGATTTGAAGGCAGTTTACAACAGAAGATACATTATAAGCAAATAAGACCAAAGGAAGAAGGAGGAAGGGAATGGGCCAATCAAGGGGGTACCTAAATACTTGTCTCGAAACCTCCACTGTGCCGGCTGGACCAAAGGAAGTGTGCAAAAGGACAAGTGCTCGTTTTGGGAAGCAAGAGACAAAACTGCTTCTTCAGGAAAGGCAAAGGTTCTCTAGCACTAAATTCTAAAAGATGTTTCAAACTGCTCGTTTTAGAACAAATACAGTTTCGTATTTTACCTTTTTCTTATAACTGCCCCAATAAAGGCAAGAGCAGAGCAGAGGAGACAGTACAATATGGTGGCCAAGAACTCAGGCTTCGAAATCAGAGAGAACTGGGATTGAGCTCAGATTCCATCACTGATGGTGTAACCCTGGACAAGTCAGTCATGTAGTCTCCCTAAGCTTTAGTTTCCCAACTTGAGAAAATAGTTAAGAAAGTTAAATGATATAATACATGTCTATCACTATCATTACGGAGCCCTAGTGGCACAGTGGTTAAGTGCTTGGCTGCTAACCGAAAGGTCAGGGGTTCAAACCCACCAGCCACTCCACTGGAAAAACATATGGCAGTCTGCTTCTGTAAAGACTACAGCCTTGGAAACCCTATGGGGCAGTTCTACTCTGTACTACAGGGTCACTATGAGTCAGAATCAACTCAGTAGGAGTGGGTTTTTTTGGTGGTGGTGTTATTACTATCATTAACGTTATTAATAGAAAAGGATTCATCAAGAGGCTAAATGAAGGTTAAATAATGTGGTTCTAATAAATAACCTTCCAGTGGTGTAAGCTCCATGAAGGCAGGTTGCATCTGTCTTACTCACCGAAGATCCCCAGTGCCTAGGACAGTGTCTAGCTCCTAGTGGGAGCCCAACAAATACTTGCAGAATGAATGGATGAACAAACAAACACAACTTAGAATTCCAGCTAGGATGAGGGGGCACTATGTTTCTTAGCTACCTTTCCTAAATATGAGCCCTGCTTTCTGGGACTTACCTGTCCTTCCTATCGCCCTTTATCTAGATCTTTCTCTATAGATATAAAGTCCACATTTCACAAGCCCAGGGTCTGTGAAGGTAGTCTGTCCCTGGGGGTCTAACTTGGGTCCATCAGTAAGAGGTGGCTCATGCGGGTCACATTCTCAGAGGACAGGCCACCAAGCCTTAGGGAAAGGCCTGCAGCAATATCTCTCTATGGGTAGGTGAAGCCCCGCCTCACTCCTGGATCACCTCCTCCTTCCCTGGCTTCCAGCCTGGGACAAGGTGTCATCTCCTTCCCACCAGGGTTTGCAAGACCAGTCTCCAGTCCAAGGTCTTCCTTGGGGCCTAACAGACAGAAATAAAAGATCCCCATGCAAGCACGGCTGGAAGTGTGAGAAAATCTGCAGAACCCTGAACCAGGAGTTGAGAGATTGCATTCAGGACCTGACTGTGGCTCCAACTAGAGCCAAGTAGCCTTGGCTAAGGGCATCTCGTTTCTCTGGTCCCCACTGTCCTCAAATGGAAAATGAAGGGGAGGATCACAGCAGTGGTCCCTAAACTTGGCTGATTATCAGAATCACCTGGGAAACGTTTAAAACTATCAGTCTATGGGCACCACCCCAACATCCACTGATTCAAAACCTTTTATTCCCCAGATGATTCTGCTCATCGCTTAGTTTGGAGAACCACTAAATGGCCATTTGGGCTCCTTTCAGCTCTAACATTTTGTAATAACATTCTCCATCTAGCCTTGGCAGTTAAATGATGATTCATCTTTGGTTACTCGAGTAGGGAGTGGTTAGGGGAGGAGAGTGGGCGAAGGAGAAGGGGGAAGAGGCAGGAAATAGTGGGGTATGTGATGCCAAGGCTTTGGAGCCAGCCAAACAGACATCAATCTGAATTCCAGTCAGGGACCTCGAACAGGTTCCTCAATCTTGGAGCCTGGTTGTCCTCATCTGTGATAATACCTCAGAGAGCTGTTGGGAAGACTGAGGGAGATAATCATGTAAAACACCTGGCACTGGTTGGCAGTAAATAATTACTGGTCTCCTCTCCTCTTCTCCCCTGCCCTCTATACATGTGAAGTCATCTGGAAAGCCTCTCCTTCACAAATCTGTTGACATTGGCCAGAGACTTACAATGAAAATGTAGGATTGATTTCTCAGCATCCCCCTCCACTTTTTTAATATTAGAGGCAGAGCATTTGAAGAGGGGTAAATATTATTGAACCAAAACATACAACCCTCTTACAGAAAAGAAAATGACCACAGAGTATCATTGTGCCCTTTGTGGATTTCTCTGTCCTTGGGGAGTGGTCTACCCAAGGTCAGGCCACATTTAATGACACTTGGCCAGTCAGTATCCTGGAGCCCACGGTTGAGACAGAGACAGCTGGCTGGTGAGTGCAGAGAAGGGTCTTATCAAGACCTTCTGGGTCCACCACAGCCACACTGACAAAACTTGGAGGGCAGAGCCCTTTTGTCCCACGGCAACTTCCCTTGTTGTGCAACCTGCCCGCACGGAGCACCCA